AGGAAAGATGAACAAACTTACTATTAGAGAATGGCTGGTCTTTCGCATTCAGACCAGACAACGTGAAGCTCACACACTGCTCAGGTCAAGGAGACTGTTTCAGCAATTTTTGGTTGATGGATTCACTATGATGGAGTCACAGCGACTCAATTACATACGTAAGCATAAAAAAAAATTACGAGTATCCAAATACTCCAATTTGTCAGGAGTACACCAACAATCTTTAAATGAAGGAGCCCACAAAGGCAAAAGAGTGGTGTTGCCGTCAACATACGTTGGAAGTCGCAGATACATGGAACAATTATACGTTGATGGAATGGCAATTTGTAGTCAAATTGGATTTCCCGATCTATTCATTACCTTTACTTGCAATCCATGTTGGCCAGAGATTTAGAGGTTACTTAACAACATGAATTTACAACCTCAAGATCGTCCTGATATAATCTCAAGGGTTTTTAAAATGAAGTTTGACAAATTACTGTATGATATAACAAAGAAGCATGTCTTGGGCAGAGTTGTTGCATGTGAGCCACATGAAATTAAATATGTAATACTTAATTCTTCCCTATTCTATACAAATGATTTTAAATTAATGTTTTACTGTATTTTAATTTCTTCCAGATATATACACCATTGAGTTCCAAAAGAGAGGTTTGCCCCATGCATACATTTTACTTTTCATGCATCACCAGAACAAGTTTCCCACTCCGGATGACATCAATAACATTATTTCAGCAGAAATACCGGCAGAAACAGATGATAAACAATTAAATCATTTGGTAAAGACACATATGATTCATGGTCCATGTGGGTTGGCTAACAGATCTTCCCCTTGCATGAAAAATGGTAAATGCTCTAAATTCTTTCCCAAAAATTGGCAGCCTCAAACCATTGTCGATCAAGATGGCTATCCCGTCTATAGGAGAAGGGATACTGGCATTACTGTTCTGAAAAAAAGTATTGTTCTTGATAATAGGTATGTAGTTCCTTATAATGCATATCTTCTAAAGAAATATCAGGCGCATATTAATATGGAATGGTGTAACCAAGGTACTTCTGTCAAGTACTTATTCAAGTATATTAACAAAGGTTACGATAGAATAACTGGAGCGGTTGTTCGGACCAAATCAGACGAAAGTTCATTTGGTACAGATGTTGATGAAATCAAACAGTACCTTGATTGCAGGTACGTTTCCCCGAGTGAGGCGTGTTGGAGGATTTTTTCATATCCTATCCATGGTAGATCTCCTTCTGTCGAAAGGTTGTATTTTCATCTGGAAGGCGAAAATCCAATTTACTACACTGACTATGATTTCATAGACAATGTTCTTGAAAAACCAACTGTAAAGGAATCAATGTTTACAGCTTGGATGGAGTCAAACAAAAAATACGAAGATGCAAAGACTTTAACATACACTGTGTTTCTTTCCAAGTTCGTTTACGATAAAAGGTACCGTTTATGGAGACCTCGAAAAAGAGGTCGTACGATTGGCCGGTTAATTTGGGTTCCTCCAAGCACTGGTGAGATCTATTACCTTAGAATGATGTTGACGGTTTTCAAGGGACCGACTTGCTATGACGATATAAAAAAGGTTGGTGGAGTAGTCCGCGACATTTTTAGAGATGCATGCTTTGAGATGGGATTTCTTAACGACGACAAAGAATATGTTGCAGCCATAAATGAGGCCAAAGATTGGGGTTCCGATAATTTTTTGAGGAAGCTATTTGTCACGATGTTGTTGTCTGGTACTGTTAATCGACCGCGACATGTTTGGAAACAGACTTGGAAGTTGCTATCTAACGGTATTCTTCATCAACAGAGAATTGTCACTGGAATAAGAGGTACACTTAACAAATACCTAAATACTTCTGTTAAATTTCATACAATTACAAACCGTACGAAACTATTATAATGAGTTTTTCTTCTTATAATACCTTTTAAACTACTTTGGATGCAATAATTTCAATCCTTTTATACTTCCATATATCTGTTACATATCATACAGTTCAAACCATACTTAAGTCTTTTGACAGGTTCTCATTGTCGTAATGTAATTTCAACTCATGTAGATAGGGTCTTAACTTAAGAATTTCAATTGTTACCAAACTGGTTCTGCCATAAATTTTTTCGACAGTTCTGCCCATACACAGACTTTCCTGTTCTTATGCCATAATGCTTCACATCATTTCCATTCAACAGCACCTTTCAATGCTGCCCTTTCAAAGAATCATAAGTTCCAGTAAGCAAGTCCTTTCAATGCTGCTATTTCATCAGTAATAAAAATATCTAATGCAATATGATATTACTCACCACCAACACAGAACAGAATAATTCTGTGATTTATCTTTTACCTTCAACCACCTTTTGTCACAGCTACTGATCAAAAACATAACATTTTTAATGAACCCGAATGTCTGATGCTCTTGCATTATACTGAACTTTTCCATGATACTGCCATTTTAAGGTTAACGATCCTTTTGCATGTCTATCTTCATCAACACTGTGATTTCTATTGTACATAATAGTTATATTTTATTTTGGTTTGTATTTGTGTTGGAAGACATGCAATTGTCAACTGCAGAACTGACAAACCTCACATTAATTGAGATTGAGAATATGATGCAATCAAATAGAAGAAGCTTGCATGAATTCAAAGATATGCCGTTTCCAGATTTGTATATAACGCGACATGTCGGCAATAGACTGATTTTTGATGAACGTGATTACGATGCTGATTTAGAGCGACAAAACTTCCAGAATCTATTTACATCTCTAACAGGTATTTCCTCATTATTCAAATCATCGATGTTTTCATTAAACTACTGTTGTATTGATTCTTTTCATTTGAATGTCAAGATGAGCAACGTGCAATCTTTGAAACCATAATGGACGCCGTCAAGAAACAAAACAGAGGGGTGTTTTTTTTACATGGATACGGCGGAACCGATAAAACGTTTATGTGGAGGACATTATCAAGTGCACTTCGTTCAGATAAAAAAATTGTTCTGGCTGTTGCTTCGAGTGGCATAGCTTCCTTATTATTGCCAGGTGGTAGAACAGCCCATTCGAAGTTCAAAATTCCCATTCCAACGCTTGACAACTCTACTTGCAATGTTGACAAAGACTCTGAGCATTCACAGTTATTCGAAGCTACTGATGTCATAATATGGGACGAAGCACCCATGGCTCATAAGAATTGTTTTGAGGCCTTGGATAAGACCCTTAAGGATGTCATGAGCGATAAGGGTTTTGCAAATACAATTTTTGGTGGCAAGGTAGTTATATTTGGAGGGGATTTTCGACAGATACTTCCAGTTGTTCCAAGAGCAGGCCGTTCTGATATTGTTCATGCTTCCATTTGTTCTTCTTATGTGTGGGACTATTGCCAAGTCTTAACACTAACCAAAAACATGAGACTAAAGAATGGGAGGGACGATACAACTTCTGATGAACTTGCAGAATTCTCTAAATGGATATTAAATGTTGGCGACGGTAAAATATGTGAACCTAACGATGGATTAGCTGATATAGAAATTCCTCCGGATTTGTTAATTTCCAATTTTGAGGATCCAATAAGAGCTATAGTTGAAAGCACATACCCAAATTTGCTTGCCGACTTTCAAAATGTAGAATTTCTACAAGGAAAAGCAATACTTGCTTCAACCATTGAAGTTGTTGATAAAATTAATCATTACGTGTTAGACATGATACCGGGTAAACTATTTTTTCTTTTGATGTTTATTTTTGTGTAGATGTTTCGTTATTAAATTATTCTTGAAAAAACATTATGGATTGATTCACGTTTTCCCATTTCTTAGGTGAGGACAAAGAGTATTTGAGTTTTGATTCGATTGATAGAACTGATTCAAGTTACACCGAAGCCTATGAATGTCTTACTCCAGAATTTCTTAGCAAGCTTAGGACTTCAGGTGTCCCAAATCACAAACTCAGATTAAAGGTTGGTACACCAATAATGCTTATGAGGAATTTGGACCAAAACGATGGTTTGTGTAACGGAACTAGACTAATTGTTACAAGGTTGGCAAATCACGTTATTGAGGCAAAGATCATGTCTGGTAAGAATGTTGGTAACATCTTTTACATCCCTCGAATGTCTATGTCACCTTCCGAGTCACCGTGGCCATTTAAGTTGATTAGGAGACAGTTCCCAATTATTGTGTCGTACGCAATGACAATTAATAAGTCTCAAGGCCAATCACTTGATACAGTTGGATTGTATTTGCCTACTCCTGTATTCAGTCATGGCCAGTTGTATGTAGCCATTTCAAGAGTTACAAGCAAAAGTGGTCTAAAGATCTTAATACATGATAGTATGAATGTATCAACATCTATCACTACAAATGTTGTATACAAAGAAGTTTTCCAATCTCTTTGTTGATCGGTAAGTACATAATAACAAATATTTTCTTTAATATAAATTGTTTCCGTAAATGCTGTCTAATTTTTGCATAATTTATTATGCAGGTCAAAAAGTTGAAAACATCGTTTCCAAGCTGGTTGCGTTGTATCTGAAGACTCGTGAGAGTTTCTTATTTTGAAGAGTCATCACAGTTTCTTATTTTGTTACACAATCATGATTTCAGTTTACATTTTTTAATGTTGTCAAATAAGTTTGATACACTAAATTTGGCCGAATTAGATGAACTTTTATTGAATTACATAAAAACGAATTTAATGTTACATGACAACATTAGTTCCACGTTTTATGAATTCTCGACCGGCCCCGTGCGACAACACGGGTTATCGACTAGTTACTTAAAAAAATGAATCATCTTTGAAAAAGTGTTATTATCTTTTCATAATAATTTTTTATTTAATGAATTTCTAATATGACCTCACTCTTTCCATCGTCAATTCACGCTGAATTTCCCGACATAATAAAATGCATCATTTGGGTTAAAAATGAAATCACTCCCCAAAACCTATACACTACAATACTTGAACTGAAGTTCATCATCATCTTCATTTTTTTCCAGCAATGTACAAAAACAAGCTTCAAGAGCTCTGTCAGAAGAAATCATGGACTTTACCGGTGTACGATACCGCAAGAGACGGACCACCGCACAGTCCTCTTTTCACGACTACCGTTACCGTCAATTCCGTCCCTTTCACTTCATTAACGCCGTCGCGAACCTCCAAGTTATCCCAAAACGACGCTGCAATGCTTGCGTTTAATCACTTCTCCGAACAGAACCCTATTTCTGCGCCTTTTCTTCCTAATCTCTCTTCTTTTCCTCAACCTAGCTTCGCAGCGCCTCTCAATGCACTACCTCTGCAAGGTATGTTTTCGATTTTGTTATTGTTTTATGCAGCATTGTGTGTTTTTAGGGATTTCTTTTGTATAGACTCATTTTTGTTATTGGTAGATCTTTGTTGAGATGTTTGAAGTTTTGGAAATGGATTTTTTTTTTTTTTGGTTTGGAATTTGATAACTTATGTGAGTTTAGTGTATTTAGGAAATGGATTCCTGCTAGGGTTTGGTTTGGTCTAGCTAGGGTTCAGACAAAGGAATTTTCAAGAAGAATCACTAGTTCATTAAGGAATTTTGTTTCTCATTTTGTTATCCCGTTTCCGCTTTTTACACAAATTTGTTATGACGTGCATTTTGTATAATGTACTTGGGAACCATTTTTGATTATGTTGAATGATAAAGAAGATTCTATTCTTCCCCCAAAACCCTCTTATTTCTAAATCTCTAGAAGTTTACATTCACTCGAAGAGTGCTCTCTACTTGCATACAATTTGAAAATGTGCAGGTTGTATCAAAATCCCGACTGGAAGAGGTAATCACATTTAGTGTCCGAATAGTATTATCTCTAGTGGAGGGAACCTAATTTTTTTTGGTTTATATGAGAGAGAATGACAATTTAGAGATAGATAGATAGAAAGTTACCAATGGTAGAGAATTGAAAGGTAGACAATCTCTACCCAAAAGTTTTACATTGTCGCTGCATAAAGATTGTTTTCATTCATTGAGTAAATGCACGCGGAGACATACGAGACTTGTTTAATGTCTGAAAAATGAGAAGTACTGATTTAGTTCTTAAGAATGGCAAATGTGTTGTTTTTAGTATAACTTTTGGTGATATTAATTTTATTAGAGACTAATTTGACATGTATCTTACATTTTAAGGATCAAACTGTTACTTTTTATTTGTCATGATTAAATGGATTTCAGTGTGTATGAAGAAATTACCCTAAAATGTCCGCGATAAAATACACGGACACATATTTGATATTTGAAAAAGGAAAAAGTACTAATTTGGCCTTGAAGAATGTCAAATGCGTCCTTTTTAGTGGGATTTAGCTCTATTAGAGACTTTATTTGACATACATCTGTCATTTTTAATGATAAAATTGGTAATTTTTATTTCTCATGATCAAGCTGTGTTGTCTATGGCAGATGACAGTTCATGGCGGAAAACCCGGCAGTATCGGTTGATATTTGCCCATTATGGCGAACCTCAAAAACCGCCACTTATATCCGCCACAGCGTCGCCACGGCCGACATTCAATAACACTATGATCAAGTAGGGTTTAGTGTTTTTGTTGGGATCTACTTGGATATTTACTCTAACTAATGCACTTGGATTTTGAACTTAAATTGTGATTATTGAGTTGTGGTTGTTTATGTTGATTAACAAAGTTATTTGTTGTGTCTGTTCTGAGGGTTTATTTCGATTTTTATGAGGGAAATGGTGCTTACATTTTTTCTTTTTCGAAAAAGAATGGTGCTTGCATGTTAGAAGAAGAATTATAAATTATATGTTGGCATGTTTCTCGTTTAAGTACACCGGTTACTGATTAGTTTCAATGTTTTTAAAATTGTCCGGGACACTTTTGTAATTAAAAGTGAAAACAACGGTCAAAGTTTTAAATCTTGCAATGATGCTTGATAGTTGCGGAAAATTGACTGATGTGGCCTCAATCACAGTCGGAAAATTAATGAAATATCATGTTTGATTGAGGGGGAGAAGATGGATTTTAAGAGAAGGAAAATACTAATTTATTTATTAAACTCTGATAACATTTCAAGTGACAAGAGAAGGACCACTCACAACCCCTGTTTTCCTTTACCGTCAATTCCATCTCTTTTAATTCCTCATCACCTTCACGAACCGTCAATTGATCCTAAAGCGATGATACCATGTCTGCGTTTAATCATTTCTCTCAACAAAGCCCTATTTTTTATCCTTTTTTCCCAACCTCTTCTATTCCTCAACCTAGTCTTCCTGCTTCTACAATTTCTTCATTTTCTTCAGGTACATCGCTGCCTGTTCTGTTGTTGTTTCCACACATGCCGATGTTGTTTCTGCGTTTTCACTTTCCTCACTCTTTTAAGGATTTAATTTGTATACACTATGTTTTCTACATTCGCATCCAACTATATCTTCTCCGTAGATATTTGTAGAGGATAAAGATATTTTAAGATATAATATAATAAAGTAACATCATAGTATGGTTTGATTAGATGCTCAAATAGTTATTTTTACACTGTCACATAGTGATTGTTTTGTTTTTATTCATAGTAAATACTCAGATTTGTCCTGATAATATATATACATGGACATATATGACATATTTGATTTCTGAACAAATGAGAGCTCCTAATTTAGTTAAGAATGTCGTATGTGTCACATGCAGATATATTGTGTTTTCCCTTCTTTTACTGTTTTAATTAATGCATTTGGATGATAAATTGTAATTAATGAATTATGACACTATGTAATATGCAGTTGTAGTTTGACAACTTCCTCTTTGCTTGGAAATGATATTAACCACATATTGAGTGCCATTACACTATTAGTTTGGTTAATACTTCCATATATATTTAAGTTCTTTTACTGTTTTAATTAATGCATTTGGATGATAAATTGTAATTAATGAATTATGACACTATGTAATATGCAGTTGTAGTTTGACAACTTCCTCTTTGCTTGGAAATGATATTAACCGCATATTGAGTGCCATTACACTATTAGTTTGGTTAATACTTCCATATGTATTGAAGTTCTATACTTAACGTACTGCTCAAATGGAGAAAAGAACTCATTTGAGTTGTGTTGTGTTCCTTACTCAGTAACCAAATGTAGGGACATTTGATCTTCTTCTAAGCACACATGTAACATAATTGAATCCCTAAAAGAATCTTTTATGACACTGTATTCCAGATTTTAATCTTTACAAAAGTTTCATGTTTATTTCCATTGAACCTGCAGGTTCACCTGTTCTCAGCCCTGATGTTGGCAACACACTTCCCACCAACAGAGTGTTGCAACCAAGTTCTGAACCAGCATGCCAAACTTCTCAAATCAATAGCCCTGTCGCAACTGTTACAGATGCCCCGAAGGAACAAGACCTGAAAAGTAATTTGATTTCTGTCTTTTGTTTATTTTATTAATTTGCCACTCAGTTGAGTGGTACACAGATTTTCATTTCATTTGGAAAAGTATTCATATCAGCGCGTGTCCTTGCTCTAGAGAACATAACATGTGTTATGCAGCATAAAACAATAGCTGCTATTTATCAACTACCTTTGTTTACTACTAAGGTGTCACTTCTCTTTTCCCTATTGGTTTGATTCCACTTACATGCTTTATGAGATTGTTTGGTGTTTTGTTTTGGGAGGTCAGCGATAATGACTACATGCAGATATAATAACACTCGAAATAAATGAACTGTAAAATTTCTTCTAAATTTTCAATGATATGTGGAATTTACAAATCATTAAAAAACAATGGTACTTAATGCTTTTAGGTCGGGTTGGATACGTAAATCAGCCAAGCCATAATAAGAGAAACCGAGAAAGAGGAAGTTGACAATATCAACATAACATATTTGGTCTTTTTTCTTACTTATCCTTCCACTACCATGGGTTTATATTCTTTTGTTTATAGTTAATCATATTGATTATGTTTCTTATGGGTTTGATTTTTTGCGTTCAACTTTGTCGTAGTTATGGTTCATTTGTACAAGAATCAGCTCCAAAATTACGCTCAAAAGAGAAACTTAAGTCTTCCGGAGTATGCTCCTGAGTGGGAGGGTCCACCTCATGCTATGCGTTTCAAGTGCAAAGTTACAATTAATGGACAGACCTTCCAGAGTCCTCAGTTCTATTCTACATTGAAGGAAGCTGAACATGCAGCAGCTGAAGTTGCTTTTAAATCATTATCACCAAGCGGAGTTCAAGAGGTTAGGCTTAATCACTTATGACCAATTAGATAAGTTTCTCACTCTATAACTTAAACTCTTTTGTTTAGTTATCTTTACATCCATGATTGTCTGAATTTCAGGAGGAACTTGGGGTATACAAGAATCTTTTGCAAGAGTTAGTTCAAAAGCAAGGATTTCAATTGCCTGTATATAGTACCAATAAATCTGGCGAGGCTCACAAGCCTATATTTACCTCGCAAGTGGAGGTAGAAGGGGCGGTATTTACAGGTCAGGAATCAAAATCCAAGAAGCAAGCAGAGATGACTGCAGCCAAGGTTGCTTATACAACTTTGAGAAAACGTAAAGGTATTTTTATAATATTAGTGTCATAGTGTTCCATTCTGACATATGCCCATAAACATGGATGATAAAAATCCGAGTCCCTGAGGCCGAGTTTCTTTAAAGTTGAATTTGACGTATAAGAGTATAATTATGGGGTAAAGGATCTTATTTGTATCCCAACATGCATTTGACTGTCGATCTTACCCTTAACCACAGAACAAAGTAATAGGAAGCAGAGTTGTTAATAGCGCCCGTAGCGGCCGCTATAGCGGCGCTCCAGAGCGGAGCGGAGGCCTGCCGCGCGCGCACAAGGGTGCGGTGGCGGAGAGAAGATAGCGGCCGCTATCGCCGCTATCCCGGGTCGCGGATAGCGGGCGCCTCCCGGACGGAGCGGTTTGGGCCTGGTTTTTTTTTTTAAATTTTTTTTGGACAAAATTACTGTTTTATCCCTCTTTTAAAATACTTTTTAAAACAGATTTGCATTATATTTTCTTTCCTTCGTTTCACTTTCTCACTTTCTTCTTCTGCCCTAATTTTTGTGCCCTTCTTCTCCACTGTTCCACTTCCACCGTTCCAGTTCCAGCAAGGCAGCAACATACAACTGCAGTCTGCATCTTCTCTACCGTTCCAGGCTTCCAGCAAGGCAGCAACAACACCATACATCGTTCCAACAAGTACATCTTCTCCAATCTCCACCGTTCCATCTTCTTCTACTTTTGTCTCACATCTCCGCCGTTCGCAAGCCCTCTTTTATAGATTATTATAATATAATTATTAGTATATATAAGGTTATCCCGCTATCCGGGATCCCGCTATTCCCACTTTTCCCATTCCCGGGGGTCAGCCGCTCCGCTCCGCTATCCGGGATTAATAACTCTGATAGGAAGTATGGGGTAGCGTAGTTTAGGGTATCTGTAGAGTTATTTTTGTACAGGTATATTTGTTTACCTTGTTATTGAGTGCTCATAAATCTTATCTTATGTTGCCTTGATATCTTTGTGTTAATCGTCTAGTAGTATAAAGTTAACTTAAAATAACTAAACAAGATTGTGTAGTCTTTGGTGTTGACCAATTAGAAGTTTTTTATTGTCTGTCTGATTGTTAAATATCCATAATTAATCTACTTAATTATTAGTACATATTTCTTCTTTGCTCTTTACCTTTATCTTCTATAAATTTACCGTGTGCCTTACCAAGTCTCCCGAGGCCAGTGGCTCTGATTGTAGACTCTAGTGACAATTTATATCATTTTCAATAGACGAGATGTTATTAAGAAATTATTGGACAACCTTTGAGCTTTTAAAAAGATAGATATTGCATATTTTTTTAGAAAAAAAAAAGCACGAATAATACAACGTAGTCAGTGAACACAGAAAAATATAGCCTAGTTGCACGGATACAGACTCTTTGAACTTACTCGAAGGATGAGCACCAGGAATAAAAGAAAGAGATTGCCCTATCCCATTAATGCAATAAAGGCAGAAAATTATGCTCAAATATTTTTGCATTACGCTCTAGCTAAATAATCGAAATAAACAAAAATATTGAAAAGATTTAAACTACTAAAGCATAATCATGACTAAAACTCTTGAACTGTAGTTTTGTTTTGTTTATCTAGTTATTGGACTTTAATATTTTCTTCCTTTGTAGAATCAAATAATAAGGGTACATTTTTCAATTATAGTGACATCTACATCATTTTTTTTTGTTATCATCATTATCACCATCATCATCGTATTAAGATACACTAGTAAGACTTTTTTTTCTTCTATCTACTAGACATAATACTCTCGTTACTTTTGTTTGTCAGCTCATGATGGACAAGCTCCTGTGTTTTCACCTAACTGCTCAAAGGAAAATGTCATGACTGGTTTGCAACACCCTTCTAATGGAGAAACATCTGTAAGCCCTGGATTAGTCATTCAGAATCCACCTAACCCTTCTAATGGAGAAACATCTGTAAGCTCTGGATTAGTCATTCAGAATCCACCTAACATAGATAACGGTGAGTCATCAAAGCCCTTATCTTTTCTACCCCGTGCTCACTTCTGCAACAAAATTGTGGATTAAATATTTCTATTTGGCAGCATTTTGTAGGCTGTCGAATGTGTAAAGTCTATACACCTATGTAGCACCGACACCTCTGAAAAAAGTTTGTCCGTGTCAGTGTATGTTTTGGAAACCGATACCGACACTTGTGATTATGTTTAATTTATTTATTTTTTCAAATTATTATCAGTGTCAATGGATCAGTGTCAGTGTTGTTTTTCCGGTGTTTGTGCTTCATAGCTATACACTAATCTAGAGCACAAGTTGAAATGAAGTTATTTAGTTAATAATAAATATAGACTCAAAGTTCACGGTATAGAAAAAACTAATCTTTGAAACTGTAGACTCTTTCATTAGCCGACTTTATTAAGTGAGCAATGGATATGTAAGTTATTACTACCTCCGTTCCTAAATATAAGACCCCATTAAGTAAATTGCGGGAATTAAGAAAGTTTGTTAGAGTAATAAATTTATTGACTATTTTGTATAATTTTACAAGTTTATCCTTAAGAGAGAGAAATAGTTAATGTGTATTTAACTGTATTTATTACAGATTGGAGAAAAACATGAAATATAATTAAGGGTATGTTTGTAAAAAAATAATTAATGCACTTTGAAAGTTGAAGAGGGTTTTATAAAAAGGGACAAGAAAAAACTCAAGAGGGTCTTATAATTAGGGACGGAAGTAGTAATTGTTTTTGACTTGGTTTAACCAAGTCTAACGGCATTCAACTCCCTTCAGGTATACTTTGGAAGATGACTAGACAATTTATAAAGCTCCTACTAGTAGGATAGTTAATATGACTACTATTGAACTGTCAGAGACACTTAAAGCAAGTGCACCTTTCGCTCAATAATATATGATTGGAGTATTGTTTATTGTTCTCTTAAAGATCAAATAACAAGTAGTGTAATATATGATTTGAGTATTGTTTATTGTTCTCTTAAAGATCAAATAACAAGTAGTCGATTTGCAAGATTCTTGTATTAATCATAAATCAGTTAATATGTGTATAATGGTTTATGTAAAAGTTATAATAATAGATAACTAAGGGAAAAGAAAGCATAAAAAACTCAAGAAAACTCTCCGTTCACAAGGCTTAAGGGTCCGGGCATCAGTTGTAATTGCTATGGGGTTCTTAGTTTCATAAATTCTTTTATCTAAAAAGTCAATCATCTCTTCTTAAAATTTAGGCAAGACTTTACTCAACTTCAAAACATTGTGCAACGATGTGAGGATATCTGCCATAAAAACATTCCTGCAGTCTCTTTCTCTTTGCAGTAACTTCTTTTTTGGTGTTCAATATCTCTCCTCTGCCATCTCTTTTTCTGCATGTTCTCTACCATTTTCAGGTTGGAATCCTTTACTTTCTATCCGCCGTGTTTGTTGCACCCACTACTATTGCCGCCTCTGCCTTTTCCGACCACTGTCCATCATCTACGATCTTCATCTATCATCAGGGGCCACCATCTGATAGCCATACAGAAACTATCGAGCAAGATTTCCCAATGAAGTCATCCTCAAAAGATACAGAATAAAATGATCTGCAGCACTCAGAAGTGCTTCCAGCAAAGCTTCTGCTACACATCCCTATGTGCCATCTGATACCCACCTTCTATGACACACAGATACACATGACATGCCCCTTCTGGACCAATGTTTGCTACACCTTTTCTTCCATTGTGTTCCCTGGTTCACCCTTTTCTTGTTTGGCGTTTGTGTCTTAGTTTTCGGATGTGTTCCAAGCTCCTTTTGTTGCAAAATTTTCTCAGTGGGCCCTTGTTGAGCATTGTATGTTTTTGCTTGTTTTATTGCTCCTCGGTAAGGCCCTTGTGTTTTTGACCATCTGCTCATTAATAGGTGCCATATCACTTGTTAGACCATCCAGGTTTCTTAGGGACGCTGATAGAACCGGTATCAAAATAGATAGATATATGAATAAAAACTGATTTTTATGGAAAGTCTCCCGAGGAAAACATCCTCACAGAGAAGTACACGCAGAATTACACAAGTAAACAAGACAACACAAGAAAGAAAGGGAAGTACGAGGACACGGTTCTGCCAAGGAGTTCTAGAGCCTTGGAACTACCCCTTTCCAAATTTCCACTCTGAATTAGTAAGATTAACTCAGTGTCTTTCCTTTTTATTGTTACACGCCATCCAGAACTGAATAGGCATAAATAATTACATAATTAATTACCGCTCACAGCAGTAATGCCCCATAACTAGCAGTCATGGCCCATACAGCGCCATAACTAGCAATAATTTTTCCATAACTGATATAAAATCAGTTTTGCCCTTTCCTCTTGTACACATTTCGAATAAGAGGTCTAACAGTCTCCTTTCAACTTTTAAGTCCCACTTTTGGGTTTTTATTTCTCGCTTTAAGTCACATTTACTGGCCATAAGACCCAGTTGAACTAGAGTACTATGTAGCCTTTCAAATCACCGTCCACGTGCCTGTTTAAGGCCACAAAGAGCCCTATTAAGCTTGCAGACCAGAGAAATATTACCATTCTCTAAACCTTGAAGCTATCCCATATAAATTTCTTCATCAAGAGAACCATTTAGAAAAGCATTGTTAACATCTAGCTGTTGTATGGTTCACTTGTATGTAATAGCAAGAGTAAGAATCAACCTTATTGTAACATGTTTGACAACTGATGAAAATGTTAAATTAAATCAAAGCCTTGCATTTGATGGAAATCCATTTACAACCGATAGCTTGTCTATTTGGTGGTAATGAAACCATTGTCCGTATTTTGTTCTGTTGCAAAGCATCAAACTCAACTTGCATACCTGCCTTCCACCGAGCATCTAATAGAGCTTGTTTAACTGTTTTTGGTTCAGTATGAGTCAAAAGAAGTCTTGGTTCAAATCTTAGTTGAACAAAACTGCATTTAGCAATAGTTTACATGAGATGGGCATTAACTGGTTTGACACTAATGGGTTTGGATTTAGTAGGAATAGAATTTGAGTTGTCAACAACGAAATTACTCATTAGGAAAAGTAGTGGAACTGGACAAAGAACCATCTTATGAGTTAGAATTGGAGCTGGACTGTGACCAGACTGGATAAAAGTAGACACATTAGGAAAAGCTGGAGTATGAACTCTGGTTGAATTAGATTGAAGAGACATTGACTGGATATATGTGAAGTAGAGTTATTGGACTCGGAATTATTATAAGGAAGAGGGGACTAAGTGAAACTAGTGGTAGATGAAGAGGAATGAGGACTGGACTTTGAGAATAACTCAATAATAGGGAATATGATGAGTCCTACTCCTATTTCACATTAATAGCCTAGACTTAATTTTCAGGATATGAAAGATCAGCACTTTCTTAGAATAAGTAAGGCCAACTTTAATGAATAAGTCACGTTTTTCACTAAACTTCCACTGGTGGAGGTTGGACTTTGAAATACCCTGATTTTTATTAGAATAAGTAAGACCAACTTTAATTTAATAGAACAAGAAAGGTCATCCTTAAATGTAGAACTTGAATGTTCAACTTTTCTTGTATAAATAGAGCATCATGCTCCATTCCAAATCAATCAAAAACAGATTCACATTATATAAATTTCTGAATCTATTAAGGAAACCATACCAGCTAACTTGTACCATATGATATAGTGAGAGATTTTTGATCTCAAACTTTTTTTCAATTTTCTGTTTGATTCAGTTACAACAACCAGCCATGGTATACTGACATATGTTATATACACGCTGAGCTATAGCAGGTTACAGCTATGGTATACTGACATCTGTCGGTTACAGGGATAACTAACTTTCTAAGTTAGTTATTCTAATGTGGCACAGTTTTAGTTATGAAACTACACCCCATCTCTTATACTGAGATATCAGAAGGATCCTCGTAATGGCTTCCCAATGTTCCAGTAACGACTTCCCAATTTTCCAATGACTATTTTGAGACCCAATGGCAACCAAACTTACGAAGTATAGGATTAACCTTACTCTAGATACCAACTTGAATTTAAATATTGCTCGTCTTCTCTGAAAAGGGTTCGGAGGACAACTATTTATATATATGAGAGATGGTTTCTAATAGGAATGTGATCCTAAAGGGTAATGTTGGAAATTCCACCTTCATTGCGGTCCACTCTTAGCTGCTTAGTTGTGGCAGTTGGGTTGCTTTCATTGCAGCCTCCAACACTTTCATTGTGTTGGATATGAAGGGGTAGATTTAGTCCCACATTGCCTAAATAATGGCAGGTGTAGTGTATATAAAGCTGAAGCAACCCTCATCGCCCAACCTAAATTCTAAAAGATAATAACATATCTGATTAGAATCAATATAAATATCTTAACATTTCCAATGTAGTGTATATAAAGCTGAAGCAACCCTCACCGCCCAACCTAAATTCTAAAAGATAATAACATATCTGATTAGAATCAATATAAATATCTCAACATTTCCAATCATCTGCGTTTGCCATAGAGATGGAAGTAACGGTAGCTCTTCTAGACAAGGCCATTTGCTAGGCTTGTAATGGATTTCAAAGTCATACCAATCAATTTTGTAGCTCATTTGAATTGTTCCTCACTCATCAATTGCTGTTGTCAGAAACTTCAATTTACACATGGTCTGTTGAACAATAAAATGTACCCTTAACAAATAAGGTCTTTATTTCTTGACTGCCATGACCACTGCCTTCAGCTTTTCAAAGCTGGGTTTCTCTTATGCTCTATCTGATAGAGTTTTACTCCTAAAAGCCAAGCGCTTGTGTGTTTATCAGGGTGAAACCAATATCGACGAGCCTCAAGATGAATCCAAGGCTATCTAACCTTTTTGGATGTGCTGTTGGACAAGACTGGAACATTAATAATTTTAATTAAGAAATTTATGCCAATATTTCAAGTGCTTTATACCTTCTATATATTCTATTTTGTGCTTTGCTTTCTTTTTATTAGGAAATTACCTACTCTGTTAAACTGTCAACTTTGAATGGCATTAGTCTAAGGTGAGAATAAGGTGTAATTTCAACATTTAGCTTGCAATGTATTGATGATAATCTTGTCTCTGCTAACATTATGCGTTTGAAGGAGATAAGGTTTGAACATAAAACACATGATACTGCAATTCTATATTCTGATATTGTTTTTGTTACAGTGGAGAAAAAACCGCCTTCATCTGGAAATATAAACGGCTTCTCAATAGTTTCTTCCTCAACAGAGTGCAAGCCTATTCCTTCATTCTTCGACCGTGACAATGTTGATGTTGGGACAAGTAATATGTCAACTGCAGTAGACGACAGCACCCCTTCGCGCCCAAGAAAGGTCATTGTTTATTCAAAAAAGACAAATGTTGATGTTGAAAATGGTGGCGCTTTGATGCAGATCAGCGATGACAAGTGGGCTGCTTACTCCTATTCTTGCTGAGATGATTGAAAAGCTGCAGGCCTCAGGCTTCTTGTCTGAATGATATTTTGTTGCTCAAATGCCTTCATGTAAAAAGTGAATTGTGGTAAACAACTTGGGATTAATGCTTATAAGCACTCTGATAAACTATAGACATTAAATTTTGTACTTCTTATTTGCTTGAAGACTTAATAGCTAGGTCGCTCGCACACTCACTGAGTTATACTATATTATATGCTTCCCTTGCTTATCGGAGGGGGTTAGTTCATCTTCTCAATCATATTATAGTTGCTTCAGATGAATGGAGAATAAGAGAACGAGAGCTTTTTTTTAGTAACTTGTGATAGTTAAAATTAGGGAGAGAAATTTTATCAAATGTCTGATCTCAAATCAAAGATTGGGATTGTTTTTTGCGTCAAATGTTTATGGTGCATTCCTTTCAAAACCTCAAGTTTAAATTCCACAAGTGTTAACAATTTCTGTGATAGACTAATCTGTACAAAACATTGTAAAACTTTGATTTTAAGTGAGTCCCCTGTTAGTGCACTATCATATTGATCCAATTAAATTAGTTGATCTTAAGATTGAATCCTAAAAAAAAGATGCATATGATCCCGGTCAAGGGAGATGACCCCACCTAGAATCAAGAGAGTAGCTTAAGAATATTAATATAAGCGTATGAAAAGGCTATCATGAGCCTATATGGAACAACAAGATAGAGAACAAAGACCTAAGCACATGAAGCCTACATAGAAGGAATTGTGGAGGTGACCATGGAATAGAAACCTACGCTCTTGACAGAACTTATAACGATAACATTTACAAAAATACGAGAAACGAAAGATAGAATATATAATTTTCATGTTTTTCTTGGTTGAATATATATAATTTTTGTGTATAATATTTAAAAATTATATTTATAAGTATTTATAAATCTAATAAGACTATAAAAGATATCGAGAATATTCGGATAGAAATATAGTTTTCAATAGAATATTATTGTGTGACTTACCATCAAATAAGTTCTTACTGTAATTCTTAGAATTAATGATTGATCTGTTCGTGAACACATAAAACTTATGAATGTATTTCTCTTAAAATCTCAATTCGAATTCTGGTTGATGTTAATTATTCATGTATTAGACGAGTTTATATAAAGCTTAATAAAAAAAAAGTAACACTTTAATTTAAGAGGTGACCAGCATGACAATATCATAACAAGTGGAAAGAACTATGTTTGATGGAATATGTGATTCCACTAACTTTTTAGTTCAAAGTTAAGAATTTTTTACTACCATACACCTTTTTTACCAACTAAATCCCAATATACCACACATTTCAATCAATATTTTCACTATACCACCTTTCCAAAAAAATAATTATTTGAAATTAGGAGGCTCTACCCAATGGATGGGCGGATGGTCTTTATTTTATACAGTTTCCGCCCATTGCATTGGCGGAGCTGTTTAAATGACGTTTTTTGTTTTAATTTAGAAACTAAAAAAAAAAAATTACGTTTGTACTCTTCCGTCCATTCAATGGGCGGACCCTCTCTATTATTTATAGCATCCGCCTAATGCTTCAGCGGATTGGATAAAAATTACACTGCTCTGTCCATTGTATTGGCGGATGAGTTGTGGCAAAAAATTTTTTTTGTTTGAAAAGAGAGTAGATTGGAATTATTGAATGTAGTAGATAGTATATTGGAATTTAGTTGATAAAAATGGTGTATGTTGATAAAAAATTCCCAAAGTTAAACTCAAAACAGCATTTAAATCATTTTCATATTGTTCACCTTTGTTAAGACACCGACAAGTAGACCCTAAATAACCAAACAACTCCTATGTTTCTGACTCAACCCTATACATAATAGCTGCATAAAAAACCAAAAGAAATAGCCAACAAGACATAACAACAAAAGTTACAATGAGGTTTGAACATAAAGTACTTTAAAAGATAGTAAAATTTCACTTTACTTCTTAATAAGAGACATAGTTTTTTTAATATTGTCATTTATACAACTATATGATATAATTAATTAAGCTAAACAAATTTTTCAACTCATATAATAAAACTCAAAAGTCCGCATAACCTAATTCATCTAACAGATATCGATGTTATGTTTTGAGTTGAGTTCAAATCAGAATCTTGCATTTGTGTGTAATACTTATGAGATGGAAGAAAGGGTTGAAGATTTTGTAGCCAATGCAATTAAAAAGTCTCTATAGTCCCCACATGGAATGCTTTCAAATATAACATCACCAAGTTCTTTCTCATACTTTTCCTTGAAAACACTTCTAATCTCATCCATGTCTATATCTGCCCTCCTTACAAGTGTTCTTGCCAAAGTTCCTATGCCCCTTTTCCCATTTTTGATGGTTGTATATAATCCCTACAATCATTAACTCAAATTATGAATTCATTTATGATATTCAACTAGGTTAAATATGTTTCTGATCTCATTAAAATTGATAAAATTTGATTTTAGTCGCTCGTCAGTATCTTAACGAAGGACTAAAAACACACTATTCTTTTGTTGGGTTAAACAAAGATGAAAAGGGTTACCTTTGCATAATAATGTGCTTGATTGCAAATACAGTTTACAACTACCATTAGAGCTTTACCGAATTGTCCATTGTTTCCTTTCTTGATAGACTAAAACATAAAATGCATTGTAGATAAATAAAACAAATTTTCAAATAAATTAAAAAGTAACTATTTAGTACCTTTGTATAATCATGTCCATAAATGTGTTTATAACTCAAAAATGTTAACTTCAATTGTTGAATACTCCTCTTGCTTAAAATTTCTAGTACAACAGCTTCATCTATAGCTCCTAAGCTTCCCTCTCCAGTTTCATATAGCCTCCTTGCATCACACTTTGATATATGATGGCTTATATCTACTTGGTGAGCTTTATGTGATGCTGACAATGCCATAAGAATCTACACATTCAAAATCAAATCTCATTTTCTTCGAAGATAGCGATTTTTTTACCAATAACTTCAACTCGTTCGAGCTAAGAGTTAAAGAATCGAGCTAAAACCCTAGCAAGCGAAGAATATTAACATAAAAACCTTACCTTTTGAAATGGATGTGGAGGATCCAAATTCATAATATCTTGATCCAGTTGCCTTCTAAACATTTTATGATATGCTTGTGTGATGAGACCAACATGACTTGATTTTCTACCTACAAAAATTTCCACAAGAGCCTTGAAATTGGTTTCATCTTGTTGAAGAGCTTCTCTAGCTATATAAGCATCTCTATCATGTGGACAAAGCATCCATAAGGACAAAGTATAGAATTTCATAGAAGAAAAGAAATCATCTTCATCATATTTTTGTAGTTGGTTTATCAAGTCTTCACCATACACTTCCTTATATGTTTCCCTTAGTTGTTTTCTTTCAAGGATGGTTAAGGAAGCAAGTGATGGAATCAGTTGGCTTAAACCACTTAAAGAATCATGAATTTTCTTGCAATCAAGTTCAAAATCATTGTTTGTCTTCATGGTTAGAATGTTGGTAGGCATATGTGTGTGTGTAAAAGAAAAGTATGGAATGGTTGGTTATCTTTGATGAAAGTTGGTAGTTTTGTTGACAATTTTACATGTATTTATGTAATCTATTACTTGAAGGGCAAGGCAAGAATATTACTTTTTGAGAAGGTAATTAGTGAATGGTGGACTCAAATTTTTAAAATACGGTCCGTGATCGCATAGTTGTGACAAAACGATATCAAAATTTTCCAAAACCGATCTTGTTATTCATTGTTTTGATGATGAAAATAAATTATGATTAATTCATACCACGACGATCGCAATCAGTATCGTTACATCTATATCTATGTAAGTTGCGGAAATCTTCATGTGACTCATTGGTCATTATAAATGAATTATTAATTTGATTTTAAGGACTTAAAATAATTATGTTTCACTTAAAATAGAATCTAAACTTAGTAAAGTGGTGATTCAAAAAGGTTGAAAAAGATGAGTGGTGAGTGAAGTTTGTGTGTATTGAGTTGAGAGGGTAAGTGAAGTTTCTGTGCAATGAGTTGATGGTGATGTGTAACGCAGGTTGTACTTATAATATGCTTGCCATGTGAAGTTTGTTTCTTAGCTTAAATTGTCATTGGTGTCCAAGTAGACTATGAGTCTACCATCATACCTTTACAGCACCTTTTCCAGTACTCGTGTCCTAAAACCAACACTTTGTGACTTCTAATTCAATATGAGTTGAAGTCTGATTTTATATTTGTTAAGTTTAATTGTAAATTTTGATCTTTTGATTTTCTTTTTTTAATTTAAATTTTGTCCAACAACTTTAAAATTCAGTTTTTTTTTCATTCATTTTTATGTTTTTTCTTCTGAATATTAGTTCTCCTTCGAATTTAATATTAAATTTTAATGACATGACACTAGACGTGATGATGTATTATTGTAAAATTTACAAAAGATTATTTTAGATTATTTTTTTAATATTTATAATTTTTTTTATAAAAAATATTTATTAATATTAAAAATATAAATATCAATAAAATAGTTATAAATCTTAATCTTTAATTTGCATTGTTTCTCCTATTCTTTTCGATTGCTCATACATCCGTTCTTCGTTTGTTTTGTATTTTTTCATTTCTATGATTGATTCAAACTTCTCATTTGTTACAACGAACTAGTCCGGTCTAAGAAGAAGAAGAAATAAATGCTGGTGTGATCTTGAGTTGTCATTAATGACATCGTGGACTTATGAGAATTCCATAAGAAGATTTAATGGTTGTGGTCCTTTTAAGATGACTAGACATAAATGATGTAGCTATTTTGAATGGTTTAATTATGAGATGGGCAATCATATAAATGACATGATTAGATAGATTAAAGACAATAATGATGATCTTATGGAGATAACAAGGAAAAACAAAGAATGACTGAAGCTGAAGAATAAGTATATGAGTTAGTTTCTGAGGTTATCATGAGTGTTTTGCAATGTTAATTTTGTTTGCATTAGTTGCAACACATGAATTGAAGTAATGTAATTTGTCTGCATTTTGAAATCATGTAATGTGTTGTTGAGTGTAATTTGATTGAATTAATCAAATGAAAAGTTTATTTTAGCATAACATGTTCTGTTGTTCTACATCATTTTAGCATAACATGTTGGGTATATCCTGTCATTTTAGCATAACCCACTTTGAAGGTATAAGAAACACAAGTGAAATTCGGATTATCAGATCCCAGATATCCTAAGAGATGTCGAGATACCGGATCTAACTTCACATGCAACAATAAGATGTATGGACAAAATAAACAGTGCTGAAAATAAATAACACAAGATATGTTTACCTAGTTCGGACTAACTTTTCTACTATGGGACTATAAAGTCAAAGACGAAATTAACTAGATAGTATCTGTCATTCCCCAAATTTGTCCTGCTAGATTTTTATTCCTTTAATTTCTAGAATTATCATTTTTTGCTTTATAAATCATTATTTATTAAATACGCATGAGGGGTTTAAAGTCAAAGGGAGGTGTATTGACCCAAAATAGACCATCAATATCTGATGGCTCATTAGGTTTTAAAAGTCCATTTCATGTTGGAAAAATGGAGGTGTATTGTTAATCAAGGAGGTGTAAACAACTCAATTTTTGCTAAGGCCCATTTAGGTTTTTTTAAGGTTGGAAGGTAATTTGTTTTTGTTCAAAGCCCAATAATTAAAACAATGGGGCCCATACATTTTTTGATTTGTTTGAGATTTGTTCTGTTTTAAAATAACATTATTATTATTAATATTGCTATTTTGTTATTACAATTAATAATTATACTGATTAATTATTAAAAAATTTTATTGGTAAAACTTTATTGTTTTGGTTTTATTGACCGAAGAAAAGATTATTAACAAAAAGCCTTTTAAAATTTTGCATGGCCCAAAAACAAAAAAAAAGCACGGAAAGTCCACTGTACTGATTACTTGGAAACGCACTGTTGTACCCCAAAATTTGCCCTTCCTTTTCTCATTGATTTCCCATCACAAAGCCCTTGGAGATCAAGGTCCAGTTAGGGTTTCATCTGCTCAAGACTTCTCCTTGCACTGTGGACCCAAATTAGGGTTTGTGTTTGCACAAAGATGTTTTGACCTAAAATGCCCAATATGACTTTCATGCTTCCTTTTGGACTCCCAAGTTTATCCTCACCAAGTTTCAAGCTTTGATTCCAAGTTTTGCCCAGTCAATTGGACAGTTGACCTAGAAATCAGATGTATTGGGGAAAAAAGTCAACTGTGGACAATTGACAGTCAAACCTCATGAAAATTGACCCACATCAACATTATGGACTCATATGGACCATTTGATCAAGTTTGGATCACAATTCCATAAGAAATTTGATCAGATCACCAAAAGGGCAAAATGGTCATTTTTAGGATTTTGACTGCACAAAGGCAATTTTTGACTGTTTGACCTAGCCAATGGAAAACCAAGCTCACATATGGACTCAAGGACCCCATGGAATTATCTTGACATGATCAACAAACTCAAAAGATCCCAAGTACACAAAATTGACAGTTGAATTTCCCAATCAATTGATCAATTTTGACTGTATACTGAAAAGTCAAACTTTGACTTTTTGGTCAAAATCAAGAGTCAAGATTCATTTTTCATCAAAACATGCCAAATCATGAAACTTGTTCACCAAGAAATCACAAAATGCAAATTAGGGTTAGAAATTAGAATTTTTCATAACTTAGAATTTTTCTAAGTTATAAAAAAAAACCCTAATTTTTTCCCAACTTTGCCCCACTTTTTCACCAAGATCCATTTTTATTCAAACAAAAGTCAAAACATGAAAGTTGTAGCTTGTTTCATAATCTACAACTTTGATTCACAAAGTTTTCCCATTTGAGGCTTGTATCTCAAGTTACAAATTTTTGAATAAGGGCACTAAACCATTTTTAACTTAGTGAAATTTTAACCTATTTTGACAAGGTTTTCTACCCCACTTCAAGGCCATTTCCCATACACTTCCACTTGGAATTTCAATTTGCATTTCAAAGATGGATTGTAGTACACATTCCAAGATTTCCAAAATGTCCAAGAACTTCTCAAACAACCTCATAACTTGAGAGAATCGAATTTCACAATATGGCAAAAACTCACTTTTGATTTGAGCATGAACATGTTCATAACTTAAGCCATTTTCAAGTCAGCATAGTTTATGCTAAATTACAGGTCCTAAAACCCTTTGACACTCAATAATTCAATGCAAAACCTTTGTGCCAAAGCCTTGTTTCATGAGCTAAGGCATTGTATGATGGATTAATCCCAAAGTAGATAAAGCATTCTTCCTATTTTTGCAAAAGTTCACTTTATGTCCAATTACAAATCCAAGCAGTACAAGCAAGATCTAATTGGCACAAGATTATGGACAAATCACTCTGATCAAGGAGAGTTTATGCAGCTCATTAGAGGTCCCCTACTTGCCTAAAACACCAAGTTGCCTTTGTTTGCTTAAGAGTGAAGAAAAGTGCCATAAGATAACACATCTTTCATCTCAGCATTAGAACACAGAAGCAAATGTTATAGACACATTCAAAACATCCCAACCAAGCAGAAGCACGACCCTAAGACCATCAACACCTCACCATTGCCATAATCACTCTCAAACTGCACAAACAGGGCAAGGCCTGCAGTTTGAGTGCTATCTCCCATTTCTCTCAAGCTTTCTTGCCCAAACCAGTTCATACACATCCCCTAGCATCTATGCAAGCTAACCATGACCTGAAACACGACCTGTAATCCCTCTAACAAGTTCCACCATTTTCATTTTTTCATTTTGCAGTTGAAGTTCCACAGCTCGATACAAGAAGTTTCAAGACAAAGTAAAGCTTGGAATAGCATCCCTGGACCTCAAGGAAACTATCCCAATCATCACCTTGCATTGAAAGCTTCTCCATTGCCAGATAGAACTTCAACTGAACAGGTAAGTTCATGGATTCGTATCTCTCTTATTAGGCATTGTTAGCTTTAGGTTTGTGAAGAAAACATGTCACAATCATAGCCCTGAACATGCCCATATGATTAGATTTCATTTATATTATGTGTGCTTAGAGAATTTTATGTCTGAACATTGATAAAAAATTAGGTCAGGATTTGGGAGAGAAGAAATTCTCTCTCATTTCTGAGAGTTAGATTGACTTCTTTATATGTCTAGAATCGTGGCTTCAAGCTCTACAGGTTTCATGTTGGAAGATTTGGCAAAAGATCAAAGAATCAGGAGTTAAGGATTGATGAAGAAAGGCGCGTATTTTTGAATGTGTTTGGTCTGAAGGTTGAAGACAACCATTTCCTGGGCTGGGCCTGTTTGTTATTCCTTTTCACACCTTGATTTTGCTTCTGCACCCCCTGAGCCCATTTGCTTTATTTTTAATGTTTTTTGACTTTTTCTTTTTTTAACTGACTCATTTATTTTTTCTCATGTTATTAAAAATATAAAAATATTTTATCTCACCATTTCTTAATTTATTAGGTATTTATTTGATTTT